TCCGTCGTGTGCATGGGTATAGTTCTCGCGATTCCATATCTTTACACACACAGGGAAGGTACACGCAAACTGAGCAGACTGTTCTCGTGGGATATGCGTTATTCCACTCACTTCACTCTCAGCATGGAGCCCTCTTGCCGATCGTGATAAAATCGAGTACAAATACTTCTCACATCTTGCCCACTTTTCAACAAATCGAATTTTCGCGAGCTTACCAGTTCTTAGCGTAATGAATCTCACCTGGGAACGTCGGCCACTGCGAGCCAACAGCTACTATTAAGACACTCTTCACCAAATCTTTAGGTGGAACAAGCTAGTACGTGGTTTTTGTAGTGCTTTAGCAAAGACCCATATTAAACGCCTTCCCAAAAAAAGCACAGCATCACTGCGAAGATAGCGAAAGCACAAGCATAACCGTGGTGTTGATGCATTAGTAAGGACGAGATTTCTCCTGTATTTATACGGATAGCGAAACGAATATGCAAACAAGCAAAGCGATGATGTGTATTAAGTCTGCAAAAAGACTTTTTACAAAAATCACCCAACAAACACTTCAAAAAACCATTTTGTCAATAATGCTTAGACTTTCGAAAAACAAGTCCGACAATTCAAGGTTAGGAAGGCGTCAAAATCGAAGTATCTCTGTACAACTACTTCAAAAAAGTTCCATTTCTTTTTCAAACAAGAACAACTGAAACATCAGCGTCTGTCCAAAAAAAAAATTCTCAAGATCTTCCTCGCATCTCAGCGATATCGCCCAGTCGCCTGTGCAGCACGCGCACCGCGACATCCTGGGTTTTGCCGGATTCGCGGCGATTATCGCTGCAGAACTATGCCCTAGCCATCTGCGATCCGTCGCGCCGGACGACTACCACAACCGCCATAGCAGACACAAGGGCGTGCAATTATCGCGTAACAGTTGCGTTCCACAGAAATCGCAGCGCGACTGAATCATGACCACTATGCCCTAGGCCTAAGGCCTCGGATAGAGTTCACGCGATTTCATCCGTCGCGATTCTCCAGCAAGACTACTGCTGCGAGTCCATTGTATGCCCATCAACTTCAACTTGCATTTCGGTTGTCATAATCAGTCACGATTGGCCGTGTCGGAGGACTATCACAACCGAAACGCAAGTTGGTCGGCGTGCAATGGACTCGTAGAGTTGCCTTGTTGAGAATCGCTAAGCGATGAAATCGCGTGGACTCTGTCCGAGGCCTAAAGCAATACAAACCAGGGAAAGATATCACTTACGGATTCTGATTATGTAAAAAACCGACGATATACACCATAGATGTTTTTCTGTGTCTAACCACTATTTGTTGCAAGACAGTCAAAGAGGGAATTACGGTGACGGCTAGCAAAGGGAATAAATAAAAGCGGTAAACAACTGACTAGCTTCTCCTTGGTCGATGGCTCCAGGATCATGCTTTCCGACATAGACGGTGGTGTAAAAGCATTCCCCAGTCCGCCATTTCCGATCAGCTAGAGGTAGATGGAGACAGGGCTCGGCACGAGTCCGTTTCTAGGCTTTTTGAAAACAAAGTCCCCCCTTGCTTTCAAAAATTTTACGAAGTCTCCTTTGACCCTTGCTCTACCTACTCCCCCTCCCCCACACTCCGACTGTTGATGGATCCCCGCATACTCACTTGATCCGTGGCAAACCATTTACCTGCTGCGAGCTGAAAATTTCGTGATTTTAGGTCAAACTCTCAAAGAAATATCAAAATATCACAGAATTTTGCTCCATAAAGCTCTACATGGTCACAGAACAGATGAAGATAGATCGCGAGCAAGAAAAAGGAAAAGAAGAAAGAAGAATGAAAGAGATTACCAAAATTGAAAAAAGTTGGAACCGAAAATGAAAATTCAAGGGAAGAAGAAGCAGAAACCTTGACGCTGGGGGACATTATCTAACAAGGCGATTTTGGAAAGAAATAGGGTAAAAAACGGCGGAAAGGGGCGATATAAACCTGTTCCTATGCTCACGGATGTTGTTGACCGGGGCATCTCAGATCTCAGATCGTCTAGAGCGTATGGTTCCGTCTAGAGACGGACTAATTTTGGAAAAGGTATTACTTCACATAAGTTCCCAAATGTTTTTACATAATTCTTCCGCAAATAATTTTCTATGTATACAGTTCAATTTTGGTCTCATATGATTCTGTGTGCGCTATAAACAAGCAGTTTGCTTATTTCACCCCTGCTTTCAAATCGCGCGCACTTTTCGCCAAACACGGCAGAGCATGTCAATCGTGTGATAACCTGTCCGAAAAGCCTGCGTTTGATCAAATGGCGCTTATCCTTGGTTCTCGGCCCCGACTCTGCAAAAACGATATCCCCTTTGCTTTTGCTCTAAAACGAAGTCCAGCCTGCTTCAAGATGATCTGTGCCGGGCCCTGGATGGAGATGTCAACATTTCTATCTCAGCCAGTTACGGTTCGCGTCTTCTCATCAAGCTAAAAAAATAGGTTAGAAAAAATGAGTGATCTTAACCAGGTGAAATGTAGTATTTGAACCGAACGCGGACATGGGGAGATTCGAGAAATTGCCTCATTTTTGCCATTTTCAAGCGCTGAAGCTGAGATAGGGAGGAGAGTTTGTTGTATTATTACGTGAAATGGACAGCTATCACAGGAAATCACCTGGCGACAGTACAGTGTACGAGAGCTCACCGAGCGAATCCAAAAGATAGTACCGACGCTTAAACAAGGTCCGGTTGGAAGTTGCTCAATCTGAGAGACCACGTAGAAGTATTGTGACACGTTTCAAGTGCGATTTGCCCATGTGTCCGGTACTATACACTCTAGTAAAAACCCACAAACTAATTTGCCGGTTTCGCCTCCACTAATCCTGAGAATTTTAAGGTCAGACCAATCATCAGCAATATCGGTGTGCCAACGGACAGGAGTTTGACGACGGACAGTCTTAGTTTGTGACCTTGGTGTTGTCTCAGCCGCTGAAGTTTGTCCCCTCGCATCCCTTTAACACAAACGTTTATAGATCGTCCGCGCGAAAAGCGCGTTGACAAGGATGCGTGGTAGAGTCCTTCGACGTAACTTCGCTCTACACCAACGTTTCCAACAGCGACGTCTGCAAGCTACATTTGAGCTACTTCTAAACATCAGACTTCGTTGAATCTTCTATCATAATTATCTTAATTATTAATCATCTTGTTAATCTTCTATTTTAATTATCTCAGCATTGGAGGGATTACGTCACTTCTGAAGGAGTGCCTCCAATGTACAGTTTTTCGCTGGTGTGATCACTGTTACAAACAGATTAGTTCTCGCTATGGGTCGGCGTCGTTTAGCACCGACATCGTCTTCATGTTCAAGATAGAATCTCCGGTACTAAAACCACTCTTGTACTGCCCTACGTGAACGGCTGTTGTATAGTTTGCTCCATTCAAGGGGAGCTGGATCTTTGTTTTAGCGTCCTCAACCAGCAGTCTCGTCACATCAAGTTGACACTGGGGAAGCCCACTAAGATTCGGCTGCCATTCTTAAACGTCGAGATGCAGCTCTCGGAAAGTGGTTGGAGAACACGATGGTATCGCAAGCCCAGCAGCAAGAACGTCCTCATTCATTGTATCTCAGCCCACCCCCGGCAAGTTGAGAAATCTCTCGGAATTATGTGCAACACTGCTGTGAAGATCTCTTCCGACATGCAGCAAAAGTCTTACTCGATGTCACTAGCCGACTGCATAGCCAGATCTAACGGTTACAGATCCTTTAAGCGGATAAGGGTGGTTGACATACTCTCTACAAACCTTAAACGGCAGTTAGTACGCAAGGCATGTGACAGGCTTTGCATGACCCCGGAATGCATAATGCCCTCAGGGCAAAAGAAGTGATTGCATGGTAGTGGGAGTAGTGTACCTTATCACTTGCCAGAAATGCGGAGGCACGTACATCGGCGAGACGGGGCGCCCTTTATGTACTCGCGTCAAAAAACACCTAGACGGGCTCAAAAAATCGAACACTGCAACTCACTGAGCAAGCATCGCAGACGTTCCATGACGGCGTAGAGATACGCGTGAAGGTCATGATCTGAGCGTACGAATCCGAGATCCTAACGCGCAAGACTTTGAAAACGTTTTGGATCGCCTCCAAAAATACAAATTTGAATAGAAAAGAGGTCAAGCGTTAAGGCGTTAAAAGCCTAACATATTCGAAGTTGACATGTTTAAATGATCGAAAGACAGCCACGTTGAGTTCATATGGGAACAATTCTGGGGAATGCGCCATGTATATTCTTACTTGAGATTAAAGGGCCGGGCATACTTCACGCGATTTCAGTCGCGATATGGCAATTCGCCAGAAGTGTTCAGATCTAACACTAGCAAACTGCACATGCATAGTGTGTATAACCTACACGCTTTGATAAAATGCCCTATCTTCTGTACATTTGAAATGTGACTACAGTGAGTTAAGGACAGTTGGAATGTTGCCAAATCGCGTCGCGACTGAAATCGCGTGATGTATGCCCGGCCCTTAAAAGACTCGTAAACCTTTTGCACACATTGTATCACAAAGCTTAAACGTGTTTCTACCTGATTCCAAGTAGTAAATAATCCTAGATGAGATACATCGCAATTTAAAATTTGCTAACCAAATGAGCAAACCTTTGACGATGTGTGCAATGGGTACATACTCGAGTTATAGTCTCAGAATGAATAATGTATAACCTCAAAAACTGAGAATCTTCGTTTTGTATTTACGTACTTGCTAAAAATTGTTGTTATGGAAAACATCTTACAGGAAGACTGTTTAGGCCTATTTCCTTTCTAAGCATAAGTTGCAGTCATAGTTTGAGTGACCTAAAAATACCATTTCTCCTCAATTTGTTTTATTTTTGAAGCACAAGCCGTTTGATAGAGGAGCTTTCTTCGATTACCTTGGCTAAGTGAATGGCTTGTGAAAAATGAGTTCGTGTCTATCCAAAAGACACACACAGCATCTATCTCGTGCAAATTATGCACAGTCTTGAAACTATTTGAGTTAGAAAGTTTATTTACTCAGTGTTAACACAGAAAGACAAAATCAAGGCACTGGCGATTTAGCAAGTTCAATAACGATGGAATGCACGACAATATCACAGCTTTCGGAGTGAACAATGATAGATAATAATTGTGGATTCCTATATCAGCGAGAATAACATTTGATTGGCGAATTGTCTATGGTTATTGTATGGACCGTTACTTCAGCAGTTCCATACTTTGCCACGTGACTTCGAATTTTGTCGCTGCTGATGTTAGGCTTCATCCAAACGTAAAGAAACCCTCCACCTCCTGCTCCAGCCAACCATGCAGTTTCAACCAGATTATTGCTAAAAAATTACAATGAAACTACATCAAGATGGTAAAATCATACCTCTTCAATGAAGAAATAAGCGAGCTAACGATGTCGGGCTCACATCCTGTAGCTAAAGTCTTCTTAGCATTGTAATAGACTTCAATGAGATCATGAGGCATTCTTCCTAGATTCAATAACCTGATACCATAAATGACTAAAGAGAAAAGATTGGTACCTTCAGTTAATGCAGCGACAAATTGATCAATATTGTCCTCTAAGGTTTTGATGACTTCTCGGATTGGACCTCCCGAGTACCATCCACGAATCACTTCCTAAGTGCGAGGGATTTGCAAATCCCGTCAAAAGTTTAGAATGTCAAGAAATCACTAGAAAATAATTATGATTGGGATTGCGTGATCACGAAGAAAAAATGTCTTGACATGTAAAACTTTGATGAAATTTCGGTAAAAGCTCTGCCTTATGTTATCACTATTTAATACATCATGGTTTCCTGTACTTTTCGTACACGATAGCAGATGGTAGACGAGGAGATGCCCGAGGAGATGCGAACATGCCCCTTATGCCTTTCAAACAAGACATGTTTTCATTCATTTATGCCGAAAAGCCGCCCACAGACCGATTCATGAGAAAATTTCTTACCAGCCGATATTCGAAGAACTACCCTACAAGTCCCCTACAGACCAGCATAAGAAGAAAAACGCCCCTAAGCCGCCTACAAAATATTATTTTGGCCCTTCAAGCCCCTACAAACAATATTTTAAGATGAAATCATATATCAAGAAAAAATTACCCTATAGGCCCTCTGTAAACCCATAATCGACTAACAAAAGAAATGGTACTTTTTCGTTATCCGGACCCATTTTTTCAAAAGGCTTTCTTATGGTATGTTCTTTAGTCTAAAAATATTTATTCATAAATTCTACGAAGACTTTTCTATTTGCCACGTGTCACAAAAAAAACTAACATGTTTCGGTCCATTTTGACATGTTTTTTTTTTGAAATCATTTCCGGTCAAGTAAAAGACAATTTGTGAACACCTCCACTTTTCAATTGTCTTAATAGGAGCAAAACAATCACGAACTTATTTTAGAACATCTTGCTTGCATTTACAGTGTCAAAAATGTCTTTCTCTTCAAACCATTTTCGCCATTAAAGAGAAAAGACTATAAATGATAGCTTGAAGTACTTTGCCGCTTATTTCGCCTCTTAAATGACGGAATCCCAGCGCACTTCGCTACTTTGAGCAAGTTTAATCAGTTCATCGATCGTTAGATGCCATTATTATAATGACAATGTTCACCTTGATACTGTTTGATCAAAATGCGGTCAAAATTGACTAAAAATAGACCAAACTTACGTCCTAGGTAGGGTAACACAAACTCTTAAAATGTCGCGTCTCGCGATGCAAGGCGCTCCTTGAAGTACGGAGGCTGGGGGCATCGGTTACCGCGCTATCCGGCGACGATTACGGTAGCCGAGACGCGTGCTGCCGTGATCGTCTCCGGACCACTCCTTCATTGGCTGTTTGCCAGCCGGGCGTCTATATAAAGCGGCGGCGCGTCACTTTGGTGCCCTGTTCATCTTCGCTTTTATCGATTGATTTTGAATATCTTATTTGAAATACGTTTCAACCGCTTTGCTCCTGTCCCTTTTTGTAAGAGCGTTGAGCCGGATGTTCCTTCGATTGGAAAACGGAATCTCTTTGTTAGCGCATTTCGACACGCCGTAGTACTCAACGGAATTCCTTATCAAGTTGGAATATTAACATCTACAGGAGCTGGAGGGGACGTGCCGTCGTTTACAACCTTGGCGTTGCGCGGTGGATTTGTTGCGCGAAATTTCGGGAGCCACATGTATTTTTGAGATTACTTGTAAACGCGCATCGGTAGCTGGGACGGGCTCTCGTCCCTTGTTTCTTTAGTAGTAGTAGTAACTTTCTTCTTGTTTAGTATTCTTTTTGTCTATTTCAACTGTAGTTTGTTGTCATAAGGATAAATCACTTAATCAATCTCATGTTTATTTCGTTCGCGCATTAGGTAACGCAGTAGGATAGGTACGTCGCTTAGCATCGAGCGAACATCAGGCCTCGGGTTATATCTAGGTGCCAAGAGCCCACCGAGTTGCCACACCTGTTAAAAATGTGAATGACATGTCAAATTTTTTTGACACGTGGCAGAAGGTTGACACCTTCCTGTGGAGCTGGGACAAAATATGGAACAAGGTTAGAAGCAACATCCTTTTTTGGAAAAAAATGGGTCTGGATAACGGAAAAGTACCAAAGAAACTACACTACAGGCCGCTAACAGACCATTATTTAAGAGAGTACTGTCCTGTGGGCTGCTTACAAATGGACATTTTTCGGAAAAAATATCTTTCAAAGAAATGTGCTATGAGCTTCCTAATATCTTTTAAAAAAAATGCCCTATGGGCTGCTTACGGACCGTGCTTCGAAAAAGGAGTACCCTACGGGCTGCACACAGGCCGATATTTCAAACTGCCCTACAAACCCTCAGTATTCAAAAATGCCCTAAGAACCGTTTAGAGACCAACATTATAATATTAGATTGTATCGAAAGTTCTCGTACCAAGTTTAAAAATTCATAACTTGTGATTTTTCCAACTGATTGGACCGCTTTTATTTTTGTATGGAAGAGTAAATCATGCTCTTTATAATGACGTCTTAGGTGCCTAATAATGATCATCTGTTGCATAGATAGGAGCGGTAGAAGAAAATTAGTCAAAATTCGAATTTTTTGTGTAGGGTCATAAAATATCTGAAAGCAATAAGTCGGAGCAGTTGGTGTAGGCGATTCCCGCGCGTATAGCGGGCGTGGCCCTGCAGACATTTTAACACGTTTGAAAACTTGTTAAATCTCCATTTCAAAGCATTGGTTTTTGTACTCTCTCGGTATCAAAAACTTCCACGCGGATACGTTGGCAAAGCTTCGCGCGCTATACTGTGGGGAATAGAAGATATGGGTTCTATTACCTGCTCTTTCTAACTGTGCAAAGCTTGTGCTGATTGAACATCTCTATGAGTTATAATTTTCGAGTAAGCAATACAAAAAAGGCTATTTTGACTTATTTTAGCATTTTTCAATCATAACTTTTGATAGAGACGTTCAATCAGCACATGCTTTGCATAGTTAGAAAGAGCGGGCAATAGAACCTATAATACCAGCTGCTCGGATTTTTATTGCAATTTAGATTTTTCATGACCCTACACATAAAATCCGAGTTTTGACTAATTTTCTTCAACCGCTCCTATCTATGCAACAGATGATCATTACTAAGCATCTAACAAGGCAAGGAAGGTTGGTCGAAGTGGCCTTTTAAAATGAGTGTATACTGCCTTGTAGAGCTTGGAACGCTGATTCCAAATCTACCTTTGCTGTCTGCTGCGGGCTTCTGGGCGAGGAGTTATGAAGGTTTTTCTGAGTAAAATTCTGAATGCAAGAGTAGGCTAAAATCAGCCGTGACATTTTTTGTAGGGCTTAATTAGTAGTCGGGTCACTCGGTGCAACAAATATTCTTGATTTAAATATACCAATTCGCTGCTGCCTCATTTAAACATTGGGAAAAGGTTACGACTGATTTTACCCTATTTCTGCATTCAGATTTTTACTCACAAAAACCTTCATAACTCCTCGCCCGGAAGCCCGCAGCAGATAGCAAAGGTAGATTTGGAGTCACCGTTCCAAGGTCTACAAGGCAATATACATGTCATTTAAAGAGGCCACTTCGACCAACCTTTTTTCCCTTGTAAGATGTCATTATCAAGAGCATGACTTACTCTTTCATATAAAAATGAAAGCGGTCCAATCGTTAGAAGTTATGAATTTTTAAATTTGGTGCGAACGAACTCTCGGTACAACCTAATAAATAACCGCCATACGTGTCCTCATAAAACAATATATAAAGCTATGAACTGCATACGGAACGATAATTGCGCCCCAACGAAGCAATAGGGAAAGTGAGAGGGGTGACCTGCGCGCCGTCTACAGACCAATAATTATAGGAAGAAAATGCCTTTTGAGTCGCTTACAGACCGATTTAAGAAATAATTGTTCGAAGCGCCCAGAGATCGATGTTCATGAAAAAGAACGCCTTGTAGGAAACCGATGTTTTCAGAAAGGGTTCTACAGGCCTTCTTTCAAACCCATATCTGAGTGTTGTAGATTATCCAAATAATCCACAACCATTAGCATTCTTGATCTATCGTGTTTGTCATATTCAATATCTAACAACTTGTCATTGACAAACGTTACTGTTCACTGACCACACAAGCCGCCAGGTCACCCCTCCACTGTGCTCGATAGTCTACTTGGCGGCGCCTACTTTCATGTAGGCAATCCTTGATTCTGTATGATACTACTGTTTACAAGAAGTGAGCATTCAGGTTATCCACGCCCAAAATAGTGGCATAAAAGGGCCTGAATACTCACTTCTGTTGTTGGTTTGATTATTACCACTATCGTCAGCGGCTGTTCCGCATATTCACTGTTGATAGTCAGCGGCTGCTCCGCTACTATCCAATAAACAGTTATACAACGTAGTGGTACCAGCGGCGTATACCAAACTGAGAAAGAACCGCCCTACGGGCCGCCTACGATTGCTGATTATACGAAGGAAATGCCCTATAGACCGTTTGCAGACCGGTGTCTTGCGAAAGAACTGTCCTAATCCCTTTTCCTATAACCAATAGCTATGAGAAAGAAGTGCCCTATGGGGAGCACTGCCCCACGAATCCCTACAGATATATTGCCCTACGAGCCGCTTAAGGTAGATCTGCCCTATGGAAAGCCAACGCACCGGTTTTGAAAAAAATATAGAGGCCTACCAAATCTTCAGAGAACTATAGTAAGTTTACAAACCATTATTTCGAGAAACAACGGACGAACTATCCCCAATTAGTCAACCTACTTTTGTAGAACGTACACCATGGATACTTCAACAGAAAATTTAGAGAAGAACAAATTATTGCAGCATGTACTGAACGTGTGGCTACTACAGCAAAAAGTTGAAAGGCAGACTGCTATGAGGCGCCAATACCAAAAACTCAGTCAACAAGGCTCGAATTCAGTCGTTCAAACTTGCGAATAAAAAGGGGGGGACTGTTAACATCCTTACGAGAGTATCGGCACCTCCACAACTACAGGGTGTCCCAAAAAAATGTATCGAACGTTTGATCGTTAATATCTCTCTTCCCAAGAAGTCTTTTGCCTTGCTTTAGATGCCGTTTTGTACAGCTGGCTTCAACTTACAAGGGAAGGAAGGTGGGTCGAAGTGGCCTTTCAGAATGAGATGGGTA